AAATCAGTTTTTTAATTTGGAAGTCGGTTACCTAAAATAAAAATTAATTTCCTAATTTAGGTTTAGTAAAATACAAAGGTAACTTAGGAATTTATTTCCTAACATGGGTCTTCCTAAAAATAGTTGACCAACTTATTTGAATAATTCAACTTAATTATTGAGTTATTGGACCAAAGGAGTTTCGGCCAACATACTAAAGTAAAAGCTTGCAAGGTATTTTAAGTGAAAAGATAATCTTGAGCACTAAAAAATAAAACTCGAGGTTTATAAGAATAAGATGAAACAAGTCTCACATAAGTTATAACTCTTTAACTAAAAAGGAGTTGTTACCACATACATAAGAGAAAGGGAGAGAGATATACATAGGACTACAACACAACAAATCAGTCTAAGGGTTAAGAGGAAAATTTATACATCTATCACTACCTTCTCTAAATTTACATAAACAAACTTGAGTGATTTTTTGAGAGAACATCATACATAACAAAAAAGTTAAATCTAGTATTCTAGATTTTTCTAACTTTTCTCATGTGGGTGTTTAGTCGCGTAGTTTTTCAATAGAGACCGAATACTTGGACGGTTCTAATTCATAAATTTGAGTCCGCGCTACAAAAGATAATATCTAATCTATCTTATCAATATATATAGTTAGTTGTTTCAACATCTAAGCATGAGATTTTAGATGGAGGAGAATAAAATTTTTATTTATTTTGTACCTCCATAAGATGCATAATCCTTTAAAGATTCTCAACAAGCTAGTGATATAATGTGGGATCATTTAAAGAGGTATCATCCAATGAAGTCGATTTAACATTGAGTTCTAATGGAATGGATACAATCTTATTCGTGATTCTAGCTCGAGAGATTAAATCGAAGCATACTTAGCCTCGAGATAGATAATAACCATTAGAGTTTTAAAAAACTTTAAGACCCAAGAAATAACCAATAAGTCCCGTGTCCTTCGTCTAAAAATCTTAACATATATATTATTGTGGTTCAAAAATACAGGATGTGTCATCTCCTATAATAATCATATCATCAACATAGAGTAAAATAAGAACAACACCATGATAGGTGTGATAGATGAATAAGGTAGAATCACGAGGACTAAAAAAAAAACCAAACCGGTTAAATGTATAATTGAATTTTGTAAACCATGCCCAAAGTGCTTGTTTTAGCTCATATAAGGCTTGCTAAAGTTTGCAAACCTTATGAGGAGAATAAGCATAACCGGGAGAAGGATGCATGTACACTTCCTCTTATAAATCACCATTAAAAATGGCATTTTTTGACATCCATCTAAATAGTTGTCATTGTTTAATAGCATTAATTTCTAATAGACTATGCATTGAGGTTAACCAAGTGACGTAAACAAACGTTTCTTCATAGTATATATCATATTCTTGAGTGTAGCCTTTGGTGACTAATTATGCCTTATAGCATTCAATAGAGCCATTAGAATAAGTTTTGATTTTGAAAACCCATTTGTACCCGATCGGAGTCTAGCCAAGAGGAAGATCAATTAAATCACGTGTATGAGTTTTCTCTAAAGCTTGAAGTTTTTCATTCATAACTTATTGCCAAAAAGGGTTAGTGTTGGCCTCACAATAAGTATGTGGCTTATGTAATTGTATAATAATAGAGTAACTATGGTAATTAGAAAGGTGATAGAGGGTTTCTCTTACCTAGATGCTTTGATGAATGATGGAATTAGATGCAAGACTTGTATCTAAAATAGTTTCAATATGAGCGAGGAGTAAAAGTAGGAATAATATCACTAAGCTTTTTATGGAATCGAATCGAACAAGGAAATAATTTAATAGCAGGATCAATAAAAAATAAAGACGAACCGGTGATAGAATTGTGGAACTTAGAGATAGAATAAGACATGATATTCTCATAAAATGTTACATTGTGCGAAATATGAAGGCATTGAGAGATAGGATCCCAACATCTATACCTTTTGTGTTCTATCCCATAACCAAGAAAACATCATAAACGAGTACGAGATTCTAATTTGGTGTGTTTTTATGATTATAGAAGAGCAAAACAAGCGGAACCAAAAGGTTTAAAGAGCGAGTAATCGTGGGGCTTACAAAAGAGTTATTCGTAAGGAGATAGATTTTTTATGACCAAAGTAGGAATATAATTGATGGTAAATACATTAGTAAGGTTTGCTTCTCTCCAAAATTTTTCGGGACATAAAGAGAAAAGTAATAAAGTACTTATAGAATCAAGTATATGATGATGTTTATACTTTTCCCACCCATTCTATTGGGAAGTGTGATGGTAAGAACGTTAGATAACAATACCTTGTTGATCAAGAATGCTAAGCAAGGAGGATTCCTTATATTCCATGACATTATTAGTTTGAAGAGTCTTGATACTATGAGAAAACCGAGTTTTAATCATAAAGGAAAATTTAATATAAACTAAAGGTAGTACGGATCGATTTTTTAAAACATATATCTAGGTAAAACGAGAAAATAATCAATAAACAACATGAAATAATGAAAATCATTAAGCGACGCAATAAGAGAAGAAAACCATGTATCAAAATGAATAAGTACAAAAGGAGTATCCGAGATGGAATCATTAATACTAAAAGACATGGGTGGCTATTTACGAAGTTAACACTTAAGATAAAAAAAAGACTCAAATTTAGTAGATCCTAACAAATCATGAGAAGCTAAAGATCGAAGTTTTCTAGCATAAGCATGACTAAGATAAAGATGTAATTGATAAATGGAGGAGTCTATGGTACTAACGGATACAAGTTTTTTAAGGAATATGAAGAGAGAAAAGCTCAAATAATTATCTTACTTAACGACTTGTCCCAAGAATCTAGCTTGTTTGTAGATCCTAAACCTAACAACTAAAGGAAGAAAACATAAGATTTAATTGTTATTCACACGGTTGGTCAATAGAAATAAGGTTTAAAGTTAAACTTAGAACATAGTTAGTATAATGATGACTAAGGGTAGGGGTAGAAGCATGTTCGACATGAATGAAATGTATTTGGGTACCATTAACAATATGTATGGGTGGTAAAAAAGTAATTGATAGCTTTAGAGATAATACATCAAAGCTTGTGGTTATATGATTGCTACATACAGAGTTAAAGAGCTAGGAAAAGTTACTTGAGGTAACAAATATGGAAGGGAAGAACTGAAAGAGATAACATGGTTGAGAAGAGCCTCAAGATCACTTATGGTCATGGCAACGGATCCTCGAAGGCAACAAAAACAATATATGAATAGTCAAACTTTGAGAGAGCTCGAGATTTAAAAGAACCATTTTTTTAGTCGTGGAGGTTGAGTAGGACAATGTTCTAGGATGCGTCCAAAACCATGGCAACATTTGTATTCGATAGTAGGATAATTGGTAAAAGCATGATCAGTTTGATGACAATACTTACATAATAAAGTTCTAGATTTTTTTATCAAATGATCTACAATGAGCGACGAGTAAGAGCAATTATAGATAGAGGAGTTTTGTCTAGATTAAGACATGTTTCCCGAAAAATAATCTTATGAATGACGAGCATCTAAAGTAGACGGAGGATTGCGAAGCAACAAAGAGGCTATAACAACCTTATATTATGGTCAAAGTACCATAAGAACTTGAATAAGATGTGGAAGATCTTCACTAATTTTAACTCGAGATAATCGATTCCAAATTGGTCAAACTCGAATAATATGTCATTCACATATTGACCAAGCTCTTGTTTGATATTATGAAGAGTAGTACACAATTGATAATAGTGAGTAAGACTCGTACTTGGTGTATCGATTGGCTAAGAAATCCCGCATTTCTTTGGCTATGTCATAATCAACAAATTGAATGGAACCGAGGTATTGCAAAACCAAGTAATAATTTGGTGATTCTTATTGTCCCAATAGTCAAGTCGATCAACAAATTTGGTAGCAGACTCATCTTTTTTCTTAAACTCGGTTTAGCAATGTCATTAGTGACAATCCGCTACGGCTTACACCCAATTAAAAAACTTTTTATACCTTAGACCCACAAATTGTAGTTAATTTCGTTTAGAGTAGTGGCAATGGGCTTAAGAACTTTAGATTTATCCATGTTAGACATATAGAAAACAATAGAATTCAAAAGAAAGAATAAAATAAGGATCGAAAGTAAAATTATGCGGAACATAAACAATTTATCTAAAAAAAAAGAGAGAGAGGTTGTTGCTCGATAAGGAACGAAGGAAGAAAACCAAGTTAGGCAAACACAAAAGAATCAAGGCGTAAAAGAAAGTATGTAGGAATGAGGCAAATTGTCTAAAATGGAAGCTAGAGTTCGTGATACCATGTGATAATTTGGAAAGCTTCGTCTTTCTTGATAAATATAGTACGAGTAACCCTATGTATATATACGGAATATTCAAGTCTAAATAAAACGAAGCAAAGGATGTACAAGAAAAGGAAAGCTATACAAATCAAATCGATTACAGCGAAGCTTGTAATCCCATAGTCAATGACCCTATTTGTAGATTGTGATCATTTACCTTATAACTTAGTCAATAATTACGTTATCAACAACAATTGAATTCGTACTCTTGCGAAACTATAGTTTCAATATTCTATGATTAAAAAAGGGTAAATTTAATGACACTTTAGGTATAAACCAACTAAAAATATTATATTACTTTACGAATAATTATCAATACTTATTTTATAACAGAGAGAGAAATAGGAAAAAAAATAGAAAATAGAAGGCTAAAAAAAATTAAGTTTAAGCGAAAATATTTTGAATGTATTTTTTTATATTTATTTATTTCTTAAAAAATATCTCATAAAGCAATTATTACACCGTATTCTTACAATAATTGCTTTTAGAATATTTTAAAATTGATCACAAACCACTTACAACTCCCAAGTTTGTTATCAAAGCTGAAATTAAGGTTTTGTACTTGAATGGTGAAGTAAAACAAAGTGCATGCTCGGGAAATTAATTTCCAAAATCATATCACATCAATCGTGCATCTCTCATGCTATAAAGGAAACAAGCAAGCACAGGACACTAATCAAAACGAAGTGCGATACAGACAAATGTTCCTGTGCATTAGCGTTAGTGTTCTTTTGAATTGGCTCAAGATCATTCTTAGTAAACACTTCCATGGCAGCGATGATCGGAGGCAAGGTAGATGACTTATTGGCCGCAACGGTGATGTTAATCGTGGGGCCTGAAACAACCACAGGGTATAATGTCACCACCTTGCATTTATTTACCTCTGTTTCCACTGTCTGCATCATCTGACCGTTGATGTTGATATCAATGATTCTCGTGTCATTTAACATAGGCCTGTTAGCCAATTCTGTGAAATAAAATACAAAATGAGCTGATTGAGGGGTCGTCGTTGGAAGTTCAAAGGTCAAGTTTATTGGATCAGAAGTATTTGATACGATGGATTCTTCCAACACTGGAACAGGAGGGTCATTTTCTACGCCGAGAACGTTAGAATCTTGTAAGGTAGTGACTTGAATACAGTTTAATGGGGTGACTCCACGTGTCCATATTCTGTTGTAGAATTCATCCGTGAAGAGGCCTGCGTACCTGCGGTCCATGTAAACAAGATCTTTTTAAATCAGACTGTATTTTCTTTCAATGATTCCCATATGAAATCTTAATAATGAGATCTAAGATAATTTTTGTACAATTTTTTGCCTAAAAAGGCATTAAAATAATTTTTGTTAATATTTTTTAATATCTTTAACTTTAAAAAATATAAAAACAACCATCAAAAAACATTTTGCTATTAGTACGCTCGAAGGTGTATGGAGAATCAAGAATAAGAATGAACCAAACTCTTGGTTATATAGTGTGATTTCCATTGGTTAGAAAGCTAACCACATGTGTTGTTATCCCTAACACATAAAAAAAAATTAAATAATAAAATTTGCATCATAAATAAATAAATAAATTCGTCATAAATTAAGATACAAAAACTTGAAATTTTTTTATCTTAATTATTAAGAAAATTAGGAATTAAAATTATGTTATCGTGTTTCATGATATAAAGATGATCGAACCATTAAAATATTTAGTTAACTATTTCTACACACAACAATTTTTTTTTAAGACGATATGCACCGCTCGCATGAAATTTTAATACAATTGATCAAATACATATTATACGTCGTTTTAGAAATATAACAAATCCAATCTTCTTGATGCCTCTTACAAATTTAAACTACTTATAAGACTTGAAAATCAATATAAAATATTATCACAGTTACCCAGATTTATAATACAAAAAAAAAAAATTCATACAGTATGGCTTTCGTTTGAAATATAAAGAATACAGATTAAAGTTTTTTTTTTTTTAAGAATAATGATACATGCTGCTATCTTTAGCCAAAAAAACTAAATGTGCACGCTGTTGTCTTTGTTAAAGAAAACAGATATGCATGCTAGTCACTTTATTTAAGAAACACAAGTATACATGCTATTTTTCGCTATGATAAGCAAGAGTATAAAATCTATTGTTGTGTAAGAAATGACAGGAAAAGAATCTTATTTATAGATAATGAAAAATAATCATTTTTTATCATTATGGAACTATTTTTAATTATAATAAAAAATGGTCATTTTTATCGTTGTTAAACAATTTTGTATTTAAAATATATAATAATAATTACTAATAATTTTGAACAAAATTAATATTATTTTTATCAAAATAATCCAACACATGTTTTTAGTAATAATAAACTCTTGAAGTTTTAAAACAAGGTGTTATAATTTTGTTTTGGTCTCAGATAGTGTAAATAATTTTGTCAAACCAGCTCCAGACTTTCTTTCGTACTAGAGTTGATTTTGTTATCATAGATTTTTATTTCAATGCAAGAAAAGGCCGATAATGAGAAGAAAACTACTTTATGGAGGCCTAGTACCTCTTGGTTTGCTTTATTTATCCCTTACCACTAGGGATGGCAATAGCCGAATAAGGTATAATAAATATTCATTAAGAATATCCAATTGATATTGAAACAGATAAAAGTAAAAAAATACATATTCACTAATATGATTTTAACGTATGAATACTCACTATTTATCTTATTAATACTCATTAATTTATTTAGATTTTTTTATTTATATGTAGAAATCTAATTACATAAAATTTAAAAATTAAGAATCAAAATATTTTTTTCAAAAACTTTGAAGATTAAAAAAATTATAAATAAATTACCAAAATATAAAAAAATTAAATTTTAAGGATTAAAAAACTTTTTTAAAAAAATTATAGCGACTAAAATTAATATTTTTGATAAATTAAATTAGTTAAATATTTAATGGGTATTAAATGAGAAATAAATTAATATGGATTATGTATGATTTGAATAAGGATTTATATGATGATATTTTAATAAATAATGAATTATATATTTTTTTAGTAGATAAAGTAAAAAATAAAATTAATAGATTCGATACTCGCCATTGCCATCCCTGACCCAAAAAAAAAAAAAAAAAAAAAAAAACATATTACATACCTGATCTCACCACCACCCAAGTTGGTTCTACTAACAAGAGTGAATGAGACATTCGGGTTCAAATGTGGGTACAAAACATCTGGCAGAGGCGTAAACTCCAAGGTAGAAATAAAAGGGACCTCTCCATCTCTTGTTTGCACCAAGCACACAGTAAGAATCGCTGATTCCTGTGTACTGTACACAATCTCGTGATATATGGGCCCACTTTTTGGCGTTGTATTGACCGTTGACCATTTTCCGCCGTTCAAATGAAGATCAAAAGTTGGAGGATTTGAGAGTCCATCATAGTTGCCATAGGAGAATCCGGCTCGAATCACGTACCGCAGAGTCTTCTGCAGAAACATGGTCGTGGGAAATGCATAGCAATTTTGGTCCGTACGATCAGGGAAGACTCGGAGAGTGTTCATCTCATCAAGCGGCTGTTGATCAAGGGTACGCTTGTTGATGCCTGATTGAGTGAAATCTTCATCTATGTCCCACACGGTCATATTGGGATCAACTAGGGGTACGTCACCGCCACAGTCGATCCGCCATCCAGCATAAGCCAAGGAATCTGAGGATTAATTGTCTAAAATTTCAGAACAAATACAACTAATCTGTTTGTTCATGAACTTTATTAGAATTTAAAGCACCAAAAAATATAAGCTGTTCTAGGTCAATCCTGGTCACAGCTGTCTTGTGTGGAACATATACGTTCCACACGTGTCAATGAGACCTATCAATGCCTGTGATGTGAATCCGTACAGTCAGATATTATGTTTACAAAAAATAAAAATAATTAAAGATTTTTTCTTAAAAATTTTAGCATGGGAAGTTACCCTGAGAAGCGGCATTCTGTAGTTGAATGATCATGAAAACCAGAAGAATCCACAAAATTTTCTCCATGGGTATTGAAGAGTGCGGTGATGCACAAATGCAGAGTTTATTTTCTTTGCCAAAATGGGATGCGGTGTTAAATAGCTATTAGCTGAACTTTGTATTCTCCAAACAATTCTTGATTATTCAGATTTAAAGTTAATTAAAACCTTTGGACTTTGTCATTAGTCAAATAATATAATATTCAATATGCAAGTCAAACCAGAAACTGTTGTAAACACCAATGTTATTTCAGTATTGTGTGACATTAATGTTGTGATCAATTTTGGATCCACGGTATCTATACAAGGAGACGAGCAGGCAGATTTTTTTCCCGATCAAATAGGCACTTAACATATAGATATAAGAAAGATAAATTATATCACATTAAAAAAAAAAAGATAAAGAAAATTACAAAAGAAAAAAACTCTTAATATATAGATATAGGCACTTAACATATAGATATAATGAAGTTAAATTACACCACATAAAAAAATAGATAAAGAAAATTAAAGAAGATAGGAACTCTTAACATATAGGCACTTAGTATATAGATATAAAAAAGATAAATTACACCACCTAGAAAAATGAACAATTACAAAAGATATGAACTCTTAAAAGTAGAATTTTTTATTTGTTACAAACGAAAAGCTCGAACCCAATACCTTTAGAAAACGAGCAAGGGTGCCGATTGAGATTCGATCTTACTGGCAATCAAACTTTATTTGTGACAAAAACAAGGTTTTTCTAAAACCAACTATGATTCTTATGGAGGTAACCGAACTAAAAAAACAACCGAGAAATAACGAAGAATTTTTCTATTGCTATTTATACCTAGCAAGGGATTTGCGATAGCAAATTTTTCATCGACGATCGGTAACGGATAATCCATCGCTAATGCATAGAATTTTCATCAATAAAATCTAACAAACAGTCATCTCTCTAGTCCTATATTTGTCACAAAATCGTCTCTAATTAGATATTTTCATTTCTCAATTGTTCTCACTAAATTTCTTTTATAGATTTGTTGATAAATCGTCGTTATTTAAGGATTGTTGCAGCTTTTGTCGCTAAAGCATAGTAAATAATCATTTCCCTATCTCACATTTGTTCCAAAACCGTTGCTAAATTATTCTCTTTAAAGTTTCTTATAAATCCATCGTTAATTCTTCACTAAACAAATGAATTTTTTTTAATATAAATTAATAGTCATTTAATATTGATGGTAGTAAAAAATAACTAAAACAACACATTATCAAAACATAATATATTATTTAATAAAATCAAAATATTATAAATTCAAATCAAATAAGTATGTAAATATGTAAAGTTGTATGAAAATATTAAAAACCTTAAAAAAAAATCCAGTCCTCATCATCTTCCGTATCATCTTTCGATTATTATGTATTGAGAGGAATGGTTGACTTTTGGGTCGTGGGGGTATCGACAGGAGGGATAGGGGTCTACCGTAGATCTCACAAAAACTTCATCATTGTCTATAATCGACTCGTATAATGTTAACTTGACTACCCCGTTGCAATGATAATCTCCATCTTGTTGATTCTATCTTTGTATCGGCTAAAATAATGTAATGATTGTTGCAACTTTTGTCGCTAAAGCATAGTACATAATCGTTTCTACTATCTCGTATTTGTTGCAAAACCGTCACTAAATTATTCTCATTAAAGTTTCTTATAGATCAATCGTTAATTCGTCCCTAAACAAATGAATTATTTTAATATAAATTAATAGCCATTTAATATTGATGGTAGTAAAAAAAACTAAAATGAACACATTATCAAAACATAATATATTATTTAATAAAATTAAAATATTATAAATTGAAATCAAATAAGTATGTAAATATGTTAAGGTGTGCGAAAATATTAAAAATCTTTTAAAAAAATCCAATCCTCATCATCTCCTGCGTTATCTTTTGATGATTATGTATTGAGAGGAATGGTTGACTCTTGGGTTATAGGGGTATTAGCAAAAAGGATATGGGTCTATTGCGGGTCTCACAAAAACTTCATTATTGTTTATAACTAACTCTATATAATACTAACTTGATCGTCCCGTTGCAATGATAATCTCCATCCCGTTGATCATATCTTTATACCGACTAGAAACCTCGTGATTATTACCATTGAGATACCACAAAGTAGCCGAGAGGAGCCGGGGTCGAATGGGAGTAATAATGGGACGTTTGTGATCCGAAACCATACATTCTCTCGCTTCTTCTCCCTTCATGCAACATCCAAATATATCTTTAAAATGTTGATATTTGAAAACGACGAATCATCATTTTGTTGCTCTTTAGAAGTCGCTTTTTGTATTGATCGCACACGATCCCGCATCATTGAAATAATTATAATATTAAATCATATATATATATATATATATATATATATATATATATATATATATATATATATATATATATATATATATATATATATATATATATATATATTGATTGATGTATATTTACAAAAATAAAAAACTTATCATTATTGTCTAAGACTCGCCTATCGATAAATGATTTGTCTTTTCGCTTGTGAATGGTCACAAACAACTTGTAAGCATTTGGGTTACGACCCAATTTATTAATATGAAATGTAATAAATGTAAAAATTAATTTATAACACAATGCATAATAAGATTTACCAAACGTTTAGCATGTTCAATGAAAGACATGGACCCCTTCGTATGCCCGGATGGGCCAAGACCGACACCAACTATCTTCGACATACGATTCCGAAACACCGGCTGAAATTGAGCTTGAAAATCAAGTGTGGCCCAATCCGGATGCCATGCTTTCTACACCTATTATTTAACATATACGAGTTTGTCATTCATGTTCTTCAACTTGTTCAGCATGTTGTTAACTGTCTTCATGCTAGACTCTCCCACACATCCTTAAGCAACGCCTCGACAAATGCATCCCATAAAAAAGTATTTCTATATAAACAAAAAAAATAATATTAGCACATTTATTTTAAATTAATAATTTAAGTTAAATTAATACTTTGAATGAAATATAAGCAAATAATTAACATGTTATCATAAACTTGTTAAAGTAGAGGTCCTTTGTCTCTATGGATATAGACTTTCATGTGGAGTCGATGACATCCAATCGCTCTTTGGAAATTACAATGACTTTGGTAGAGCACTTACTTGACAGAACTAAATTATCAAACAAAATAGACAAATAACAAATAAGTCAATTAATAATTTCAATATAATCTATGAAAATATAAAACTAATTACCACATGAAAAACATATTATTTACCAGTTATTCATGACGTAAATGGTCGATCTAGAATTAGATCCAAGTAGAGTTTCTTAGAGCTAAGGAAACCATCGTGGGGACATCCGTAGTCGTGGGCACTATCGACGGTGGATGCTAACGTGTCGACACCACTATTTAGTCCATAGCCTTAAACACTTGCATTTGTAGTGTCACATCCATGTACATTGTCATCATCGAGTCATGACCACTATCATCTTGACTAGATCCGCCTAATTTACGTGACATAACTCTAGAATAAAACCCGAAACTATTTAACAAATACAACAAATGAATAACAATTTGACTAAAAATGTATTATCAATTGTATTTATAAAAATTCACCATAGTCTCTCCTGTAACTTATATATTTCCTCATTACCGAAAACGCCACTCGCATAAAATTCAACACATCCAACATGCACAACAAAAATCTAAAAAATACATAATTGACAAAATGATATAATATAATGAATACAACAAATAAAATTGATCGTTAATTTTAATTGTTATGATCATCTTTTAAGTTTTCCTCTCCCTCGGTCGATTCGATACATATTCACTTTCATCTTCTTTGTTGTCTTCAATTACTTTTATATTATTTACTTCAATTACATCAATATAAATAAAATTTAAAATCAACTAATTAATCAAATTTAACCTAATTAATCAATTAAACCTAAATCAAATTAACCTCATTAATTCTAATTCAAACCCAATTAATTTAAACCTAAATCAAATTAACCCTAATCCAAACTTAATTAAATTTAACTAGCAATTGATTAATAATTTTTAATATAAATAAAATTAAAAACCAACCAATTAATTAAAATTAACATAATTAATTAATTAAACCTACATCAAAATAATAATTAATTAACAAATTAACCTAACAATTAATAAAAAATAACAATTTAACAAATTAATCAAAAAAATAACAATTAAAACTATATAAAATTATAAATCAACTAATTAAATTTAAATTTAACCTAACAATTATGAAAATAACTAACTTTTAAATAACAAAAGAGATGGAGAATTTACTAATGATTCAGACTTGAAGAGAAAAATAGGAAGGAAGGAAAAACAAAGTTTTTTTTTAAAGAAGAAGAGAGTGTGGAGTGGGTATGGATTGATGAGGAGTAAAAGACTATAGCTATTTAGCGATTTTGGGTGGGGGAGGAGCCCGCATTGGAGAGGAGAGGCTAAAAGAAAAAGAAACGAGGAAAGAAAAGGAAAAAGAGGTTAAATTGGGGATTGAGACTAATGACGAGAGCGATCTCGTCAACTGGTTTATCGTTATTTAACAACGAATGTAAGTGTTAATCACTAATCATTCATAAAATAGGTGACTAATTAATTTCGGAAAGCCATCCATTTTTTTACAACCTGGAACAAAAACGTTTCGTTGCTATTTAACGACAAAAATTAAGTTTTTGTTGCTATTCTATTGTCAAATGGGTGACTTTTTAATTTCAAATGAATGCCCATTTTTTCAGATTTAGTGATGAATTTAGTACTTTAATGATGAATTATCAAAACATTAAAAATAACGACGGAATAGAAACCCGATACAAATTTTCATAGCAATTCTATCGCTAACTCTGTCTTAAAAAACCTCGAAAAGATTTTGGTGCCACAAATAATGATAGAATGTATCTATCGTTGATAGTCCGTTGCCAAACTCAACATGTGCATTATTTTTGCTCTATGAGTCTTAAAACTCATTCTAATACGAAATAACTCAAATTCAAAAGCTCATAAAGTTTTAAGATTTCAATCTTTTTTTTTATATATAAATATCATTTATTGTCTTGAAACCACCAAAAACAAAACTCTATTTTTCAAGATAAACAAATTAAATAGAACATTGCAAGTTATAGTTGCATGAATAGCCCCTATAGGCATTTTCTCTCTTTTTTCTACATCAAGAATCAAAGCGTGTTACAATGTGTATCAAAACAAAATATTTGAAAATAATAAGGATCAAAGTGCAAAATTTGATATAATTCATATATAATTGCTTGAAAATTGTGCAAAAATTACAAAAATATCATGCTCGAACCACTCGACAATGCACATGAGTTTTAAATTGCTTTAAATGGACGGCGGCTTAACCCAAATCTTTCAATTCTTTTTGTAATGTGAGATCGGTAAAAATTAATGAGAGGATAAGTGTTGTTGAAATTGGCGAGTATTTGTAAATGACTCTAAGAGAGGTAATTATAAATTAGTCTTTTTAGTTTCAATGAACGAATCGATTAGTTTTGCTATTTTTTTAAAAAAATTATTTAATTTTTTTAATTTTTAATTTTTAATTTTTCTTATAGCTTAATCTTTTTTTAAAATTTTTTTTAAATTTTTTAGAAATAAAAAAAGAGAAAAAGTAATTAAAAAATATATAAAGATTGATGAGAAAATATGATATTTTTGAAAATAAAAAATACTAAATTAAGTATGGTCAACATTGATAAAAAAAACTAAATAATTAATTTTTAAAATATGAAGAACTAATTTATTCATTTTTCAATATAAAGGGACTAATTTATAATTCACCCAATTAAAGAGTGTTTTTCTTAGGCTTGTTATCTGGGCTCTAGTGGCATTAGGTTACCTTCCTTTCGCTCCCGCTTTCTTGCATTGTTAGCGTATATACAATACAAGTATTTTATTTAGGTATGTATATCTTTCTTTCTTTTGGTGTGTAAAGAATAAATCTCACCACTAAATAAGCTTTGCACGTATTAACGTGACTGGTATAATGTTCATATGAAAATTTCCTTTTAAGGTCCTGTTTTTAAATTCAATTCGTAAATAATAACTTGAAAACTAAATGAGTTTACCACTTAAGCCAATATTTTTTTTAAAAAATAAATATTTTTGGCACACCTTATTTAGGTTTCAAATACGGCTAAGTTTTTAATTTAAAACCACGGTTAACATTCTATATAATGCAAACAAAAATAATGCATTTATCAAAATCAGTCATTTATGCACAAGTTGATCTGTGAAATTTATACGTATAAATATTTGTGTATGTGTGTGTATTTTTGTCATGCAGCGGGTGGATGGAGAAGATAGGCTCCAAACCAGGCGTGGGTGAAAATGCTTCGAGACCATAGGCTATAGCTATCCGATGATGGAGCATAGGTCATAATGGGTAGCCCATTTGCATTGAAAAAAACACCAATAATCTTTCCTCATTCAAAAACATTTTGAAAATACATAGAGATTTTATTAAATTTGTCTAAGTACATGTTCCAATTATTTAAAATCATTTAACAAAACTTAATTTCAATTGATATATAAGTGAAAAAATACTTTTACACACATACGCATGAGCATACACACGTGTATATATATTACCAAGCACTCTAAAAACAAATTTAGCTAACTTAATATAGATTGGAGATTATAAATTTAGCTAACTTAATATTATATATATGATTTTTGTTTTGAAGGTGAAGTTTTTTGATCGAATTTTAAACAATCCATTCACATGTCAATTGGTGCATCCATCAAATGATTAGTGGAGCATTTTGTTACAGTATCTCGTAAGATTTTAATCCTAAATGATAACGTGGAAACATACTCATTGTCATTAAAATTAAATCTCAAAACTATAAACTTATTATAAAGTTGGAAGTAAAACATTGGCATATCCAAAAGAGAATGAGACGATAAATTGTTTCATGAAATTCTAAGTAGATGATTAACTTAAAACATGATTGCTTAATAATATTGCTATTCGATTGGCATAAAAAAAAAATTATCTAAAAATTAAAATGATAAGTTGTTGTTTGATTATTAAGAATAAAAAATCATAAATAAAAATATACAAGTTAAAACAAAAATTAAAAAATTAGAATGGTATTTTCATTCAAATATTGCATTTGGAATGGTAATAGAAATTAAAATAAAATTTAAATTTTTTAATATTTATTTTCTAATACAAATAAAAATCACGATTAAAAAAATAATTTTATAAACTATAATAATAGCAAAAATTATAGAAGTTATTGCGACGGACGGTAGAGCGTGAAAGTAATGATAGTAAAAGTAATGTAATAGTAATAATAATAATAATAATAATATATTTTATAAATATTAATGTCACCATCATAAAAAATGATAATAAAAAAAATACTAATATTGATATAATAAAAATAAGAGTGATGGATGATGATGAAATGGTGATAAAATAAGAATAAAAAAATAATTTTTTTTATTACCAACTCCAGCAGTATATAATAAATAAATATAATATATTATTATTTTTTAAAAATCTCATTTTTATTTTTTATTTTTATTACCACAATGCTGAAATTTGCATTTTCCAAACAATTCTTGATTTTTCAGATTTAAAGTTAATTAAGACCTTTGGATATGTCGTTTGTCAATAATATTTTATTCAATAACCAGAAACTGTTGTAAACATCAATGTTATGTCAGCGTCGTGTGAGATTAACGCTGCCTACATCTATAGGGTGATCCGTTCTGGATCAACGGTATCTACACAAGGAGACGAGCAGGCAGATAGATATAACGAAGATAAATTACACCGCCTAAAAAAAAGACAATTACCGAAATAGTAACCCTTCCGGACTTCCGGTAGAACTTTTTTTTGTTACAAACGAAAGCCTCGAACCTGAGACCTTTTAGAAAACAGGCATGGGTGCCAGTTGAGCTTCAATCTCATTGGAAACCAAACTTTATTTATGACAGAAACAAGGTAATGCTAAAACCAGATATGATTTTTATTAAGGCAACCATTTCAGTTCCCATTTTCATTCTTTTCTTTCAGCAACTCTGATAATGTTGTAGCCAAACTTCGTTTTGCTTCAGGAGACACACCATACTTGCCAATCATCGACTCTAGTACAGCCTCTGAAAGTGGTTTATTCTCTATCACTGCATTCTCGACTTCTGGGATAGACCCATCTTTGGAGAAGCTAATCTGTAATTAGAGAGAGTGAATAATATGAAACATCAGTTATGAATACTAAATTCTATTAAAGAGCTTTCCAGCAAACATATGTATCCATTACACTACGAAGAATCCTCAACAAAAATCAGCAAAATACGCTTACGGCTAATGATCCATTGGCTGATTGAGTGAAAAGAATCGAGGAGCCAGGAGGAAAGGTTTCTTCCTTGAAGACCTCTTGAAATTTCTCAATGGCTTTGGCTTCTGCATCAGTGTAAATTCCCAAAGATTTCCAAATGCCAACACAATTCTCCGCAACCTTCTCCGAATACTGGAGACCCTTTAATGGCAATATCATCGTCACCCGCATGAATTTCTCGAAGGGACCTTGAGAATAGCAAGGAAACATAACTCAGATTTCTTATGAAATGCAATGCTTAAACATTTTTGGTTTAATTTCGCAAAATGAGGAACGCTAGCTATGAATCGACTTTAAACTCGGACCTAGAAAATCATAGTACTTGTGCTCATGCATAATTGTTTGACATTTTTTTAATGGCAGGCGCTTAACATTTGAATATTGGAGTAAACAAATAATTGAATTCAATTCAATAGAAAGCCGTCTAGACTCCAGAATGTTGAATATTGCATATACAAAGTGATGGAATATGCGTTCAAGCATGCACCAGACATTAGAATAATAGCACACTCTTTTTTCTTTAAAAAAAAAAAAATACTAGCTTGCACAAAACAATAGAATGTGATGTCAGGTTTTGCTTTCCATACTCAGCCAGTGAAGGCCTACTAATTTTGCATTCTTGATGGAAAAAGTCATGGCTGGAAAAAAGAATAGACACTAGGAAAACTATTATTATATATATACTGATCAAGGAATATTAATTACTTACTAAATAAAAGAGTGCCTTGAGCGTTTTCTAAGAGACTATAAAAATTAAAATCAAATTCGAATCCTATCTTGGCAGAAACAGCATGCAGAAGCAGTTTTGTTTCTAATGTTATTAAGGCTTCCATATTTACAGCTTTCAATTAAATCCATTGTTTTCATAATAATTTAAATTTAATTAAATTACTAATTATGGATAAAGGAATGTGTTTTTCAGTCATTATTCCATTATGTCAATGCACAAAGTAAAAATCCGAACATAGTAGTAACCCAAGCATAGAATTGTTTGCTGCAAAGCATTGAGAATTGAACTTGAAATCCGTCTTTAATCCACACAACTCGAAAAGTACTAGTGCAGTTTAGATAAACTCCGAACAAACGAATAGTCACCTAGACATAATTGTCCGGATCCATGAAGCTAGCCGGTGGCCATTTGGACGGAAAAGGTGATTCTTGACATTTTTACTATTCCTAGCTAAGAAAACAAATTCAGCTACTAAGCTCACAACTGGCGACCGTTACCAAGGCAAACGTAACGTTAACTGCCAAAATTATCATATTATAACAAAGTAACCAAATCCGACTGAATTCCCGTTAAAGACACAACATACGTACTTACCTGTAACAATATCTCTAAAGAACTCGACGGAATTCGACAACTCCTTGGCACTCTTGCCCTTCCATTTAACAGCAAGTGACTGCACGGTGTTATCCTCCAAGTACACACCTATGGCCGTGACCTTTATGAACTTGCCTTCAATCTCCAATCCTCTCACCCCTGCTCACGTTAGCACAAAACCATAAAAATAAAGAAACCAGCTTTATAATACACACAGACACACACAGACACTGATCATCACATGATACTGGTTAGCATGAGCTGGGGGTGCGTAGATTAATCAGTTACCTGCGCCACCGAGGAAGAGAGTATTGTTTGAGGCCGGGGGTTTCACCGCTGGCGGGAACGTGACATTCTCGACTTGCATTTCGGTGAGAGGTAATGAAGGAGACATTGTTTCGTTTATGTTTTGTATTGGAACTTGGGGGTGTGTGCTAATTGTCAAACGAGTCGTTATATAGGGGGGTGGAGGGTCAGGTAGGTTGATGAATTTGGAGATGTGTAGAGGTCTAGAGTTAGTTGGTTTTAACTATTAATGGTGGTGGGTGTAGGGGAGGAATGGTAGTCAGGCAATGGTAGATGCACGTGGAGCTGCGCGGTGCCACCCAATTTAGTTAGATGTGCTGTGCATAAATAAAGGGTACGAGTTGGGTTATAGAGTCGATGCCCGATTGGTAAGCATTAATGAGAGGATGAGTGGTATTCAAATTGGTGAGTATTTCGAAATGAGTAAAAGATGATTAAATTATAAATTAGTCTCTATAGTTTAGAATAACGAATTAATTAATCCTTTTGTTTTAAAAAATAATTATTTAATGTTTCTATTTTTAATTTTTTTATAACTTAATTATCTTCTTTCTTTTTAATTTATTTTATTTTTAAAAGAAATTGAAGAAGAAGAAAAAATAAGTAAAAAAATATATAAGTATTGATAAAAAAATAATAGATTTTGAAATAAAATAATATTAAATTAAGTATGGTAAATGCTGATCAAGAAAATAAACACCAAGACTTTTTCTTACGTATTGATGATGGAGCATAGGTCATGACTGGTAGCCCATTTGGATTGAAAAAACACCAAGACTTTTTCCTCATCCAAAAAGCATTTTGAAAATACACTTCCTAGTTGGATAATTTATTAATTTTTTTTAATGCACCGTAGTGATGTATAAAATATATTTTTAAAATTATTCGAAAAAATTTAGTTTTAATCGAAACAAATTCAAAAATATCCCCACATGCATGCCGGATATAAATGTGTGTATAGTGTCTGTATATTACCAAACACTCTAAAAAGAATTCAGCAAAACTTGGATAGATTTAAGTATCAAAATTTGTATCTATTGGGTCTGTCAATCAATTATGCAAGTAATTTTTTGTCTTGAAGGTAAAGTTTTTCGTAACTGAATTTTAAGTAAGCCATTCACTTGTCAATTGGTGTATCCTTGAGATAATTAGTGGGGTATTTCGTTGCTATGTATCTAATTGAGATTTTAATCGTGAATGATAATGTGGCAACATACTCCCTACGATTAAAATTAAATCGCAAAACAATAAAATTATTATAAAGTTAGAAGCGAGACATTGACAAATCTTACAGAGAATGAGAAGATAATAAGATTAGTTTAAAACGGGATTGTTTAACAAAATTGGTTTTCAATTGACATAAAAAAGAAAAGAGAAATTAAAAGGAGGTTTGTCTAAAATTTAAAATGGTTAAATGTCGTTTGATTATTAAAAATAAAAAGTTCTTAATAAAAATGTAGGAATAAAAATAAAAAATTAGAGAAACATAATGATATTTTCATTCAAATAGTATATATTTAGAACCATCATAAAAAATCAAAATGAAATTTAAAAATTTTCAATCTCTATTTTTTAAGACGAATAAGAATAATGATTAAAAAATAATTTTATCAACTATAATAATAGTAAATATAATAAAGATTATTGCCGAGTGATAGTAATATCAATAATTTATTTTAAAAATATTGAGAAGGTGAGAGTAAAAAAAAAAATAGTGGTAGATGATAATACAATAAAAATAATGACGTTGGACAATGAAGGACTAATGGTGCAATAATAATAATTTTTTTTTTTATCACCACCTCTAATTGTGACGATGGTGTTGGTGTTAGTGATAGAGGTGATAATGATGGTAAAAATAATTGAAACACCATAAATAAAAAAATATTATTATTTTAAAGAAAAATATCTCATTATCATTCATTGTTTTTATTATCACCTTCTCTCGTCGAAATGAAATTATATTTAATTTTTATTCTTTATTTTTATTTTCACTTCATTTATTTCATCCAAACACCTATAAAAATAAGATTAAGCTTTCATTCTCTTTTTTATCATTCCATTACTTGTTACCAAACAACACCTCAAAATAAAATCATCTTATTGTAATTCTATATGTCCGTTAGTTAATTAGCATAAAATAGTTTGTTGTAAATAGATTGGTAGTAAGGCCGTCAATTGATCAAATTTTGATCTAAATCTAATGTGATTAAATGAATGGACATACAATTTGTATGATTCGATTTTGATTATAATGAAGATATGTTAACCCGTTCATTAAATGGATTAACTATGAATTTACTTCAATTTGGTCCAATAACAATCCAACCTAAAATTAATATTAATATTATTCAATATTTACAATCCTTTAAAAATAAAAAATAAATATAAAAATAAGAAGAAGCATGACACTATGTTTAGATTTTGGATTTATTTATTCTAAATGTCAAGAAAAGTTCTATAATTTCGTTCTTGATTTTTTTCTCTATATCAATGACTATTCTTTCGAACAATTATATAATAATTTTTTTCTCATAATTTCTCAAGTCTCAAATTAATTTTGTGAATATATATATATAATTTTTTGTTGTTATACTTACGGTTTTAATTTATAAAATCTCAATTCAATCTGAACTTTTGTTCCTTTCAAAATAATTATTTATAAAACATTCGATTTTTTTTCCATACCAATCAAGTCATGTCTAGATTGAGCAGTTTTATTATTTTTCTTTAACTTTATCATACTTCTTGCCTAATTTAAATTAATTTTGACATTTAATATAAACTTTTATAGGGAGTATTTGATTTTGTTCTCTTTCATGACGAGACATCCGAATTTTTTAAATTGACATATTAAATATTATAATTTTTTTTATACATGCGATGAATGAAATTCTTTTTATATCAAAATATGATTTTGAATGTAATCAATATTTTTTTTAAAAAAAAATGAATGATAAATTCAATAGTTATTCGAATCTCATTACTATTACTATATAACTAAAACATATGAGGTGTTTAAATAGTGAATTTTACTATTCACCCCCTCACAAATCACTATTTATCTTCTTTTTTTTTTGTAATTTTAAAATTGTTTTATCTTGATACCTAAAATTTTAAAATTACTATATAACTAAAACACATGGGGTGTTTGAATAGTGACTTCTACTATTCACCCAATCACAAAGCACTATCCACCTTTTTTCTTGTAATTTTTAAATTATTTCATTTTGATACCTAAATTTTTAAAATAAAAATTTTAATCCTCTAACTGTGCAATACACATGCTTTTTTTCTTTGATTTTTTTTTTATCAATTTATGTTTTTTTTATTTAATTGGGTGTTAAAATTTTAAAAGATCGATCATTATTTTTTTCTACATAAACCGATGATTATATAATATATACTTTAACGAGTAAGTTTCACTCGTTCACCTCCTCACAAAGCACTATTCACTTTTTTTTCCTTTGATTTTTTTCCATCGATTTATGTTCTTTTTTTATTTTATTTAACCGAGTGTTAAAATTTTAAAAAATCAATCGTTATTTTTTCACATAAACTAACGATTATATAATATGTACGATATATTTTTAGATTTTAAAATAAATATACACTACTCTTATTGTTTAAAATTGATCTTTTTGATTTATTATAAAAATTCACATCAAGTTAATTTTTATTCTTATTTTTATATAATTTTATTTATTAATAAATATGATTTATTTTCTTTACATATGGATTCGAATAAGTTTTTTTATACCTGATTTTATTTTCTTGATTCTTATATAATCGAATTTTAAAAATAAAATATATGTATTTTATTTTTTATTCTTTATATAATCAAATTTTATCAAAATCAATTTTATATTTTTTATTGCACTCTATTAACTTCAATATATATTTTATAATTTATTTTTTAAACTACTTTTAATTTATTCTATACATTCTCACTCATAGAGTACTCGTCATGATGTATAAATAATAATAATTTTATATTTATTTATTTTATTATAAATTAACTATGCATCTACACACACAATATCAACTATTTGCAATTATTTTTTTAATATTTTAAAATAAAATAATTAAAATAATATTTTAGAATAACCGTTGAATAATTCAAATACAATTTTTGTGTACTCGATATTATTCATTGTGTTTTAAATAAATATATATAAATCAAATGTGCATATTTAAAATAATAATCTTCTTAACAATAAAAAAACTTCAGTTATTAATTTTCATACAAGTTTTTATACTAATTGTTGTTTTATTTCTTCGATGTAATGTTATGAAAAAAAATTACGATGTTTTTTAAAAAATTTTTTTATTATGGGTTTTTATTGAAGAATAAATGCATAAAAAAACAAATTATATTTTTTTAACTTCAGAATTTATTGAAAACATAAAAAATATATATAGATACAAAATTTTGATTAAAAATTATAAAATGAGATGAAATTTTATCTTTTATATATAATTTAATAGATTTTAATTAACCAATGACGTAATATATGTTATCAAATAGAAATAAATATGTTTAGCTTGATCCATAGTATAGCATGTGAATTCGAACTATTCATATATATATGCCTCAAATTCATATTCACTTGCTCTTCATAGGTATAAAATTACTATTTATTTGATGGCAATTTAAGTAACTTTTGTGTGTTGTTTTTTGTGTGCTTTTGGATCATTAATATGTAAATTTAACACTTTTTCTTATTTCTATTCCTCACGTTGTAACATTTTTTTCAATCCTCAACTTTCATTTTTTTTTCCATTTTCACGTAGTATATGTGTGTGTATGTGTGTATTAACATATACTTCAGCTTATATTATTCTTATTATTTAAATTTTATTATTTGAATTTATCTTTTTTTTATAAAAATTCTCACCCAATTAATAATTTTTATATAAAATTTTAATTACTAATAAATATAATTTATTTTTCTCTATGTTAGAATTTTAGAATAAAATTTTAAAACACGAATGTTTTTTCTTTTTTCTTTTTAAATAAATTGGTATGATATATATATATATATATATATATATATATATATATATATATATATATATATATATATATATATTATTTTATTATAACAAGTTAAAAGTTTATTTCAAATAATTTATTTTACTTCAATAGGTATGATCAAGACGTATAAAAAAAACTACTGAATCATTATTTTTAATAAAAATTAACTCGTACATCTTCTAACATAATGCAAATTATTTACTTGAATATTTTTTTAACATTATAGAACCAATTTATTTGACATAAAATAATTAAAATATTTTTTTAAAGAAACCAACTAATTATTCAAATGCAGTTTTTTATAGTAATTTTATTAATTATTTTCTAAATAACTATATAAAGATCAAATGCATATACTTTTTTAAAAAAATATTCTCACCAGTATTACATAAGAATAAAATTTTATTTTTTCATTAGTTAATTTTTAAGCAAGTTTATAAATTAATTGTAACTTTATTTTTTTTGATACATTCTTATAAAAAAAAATATCTTCAAAGTATTTATTTTTGAATTCTTAATTAATTTTTCAGGTTTAAATTATTACAAGTTTTTATTTAAAAATTTCTGAATAAAAAAGAATAAATCAGTTTTTTAAGCAGAAATTTTATGAAAAAAAGTAATAATTAAATAAAAAATTTTAAAATTTTGAAATGATTTTGTTCTATTTGCCGGTAGCGTTCTGCGAATAATTTCAAAAATTAATCTTCTCATCAACATTAAATAATATATTTTTTTCATTTGTTAATCTTGTAAAAGTTTAACCATTAATTATAACTTTATTTTTTGAAATATAATATTGTGAAAACAATGTTTTTAAATTTTATTAATTCTTGATTAATATTTTATTTAAAATTATGATAATTTTTTATTTTAAAATTAATCTATAAAGAAGAATGATTTATGTCTTTTTTAAATAAAAAAAGTTATGAAAAGCATTAAAAATTAATTAAATAAAAACTTATAATTAAAAATTATAAAATTTTAAAATGATTTTCTTCTGTAAGATTTGTAGCTATGGACTAGTTAGCATGTGAATTAATAATTGTAAAAACTGAATTCAAATTCATAAAATTTGATTCGTTCTGTTTATTAAATAAATCGAATCGAATTTAGATGAACTGTTATCTGATCTGAATATGAGTAGTTGACAGCCTTAGCATCCAGGCCTGTAGGGTTACCATTTAAGAAACCAGTCAGTACGACGTCACTTTAGCACACCTTCCAGACATTTGACACGTGCCCAAAATTCGTCTCATCTCCTTCAACTTCAAACCCCCATCCATTGCATGCACAACAGTACACCGTCAGCAAAATCAGTTTCAATAATCTTTACTCCTTCTCTAATAACACTGTCTTCTCAATCTTTTATTTAATCCCTCCTTTTCTTATTTTCAGAAACATTTCCTTTTTTTCAAAAAAAAAAAAAAAAATGTCGTGGTTGAGATCTGCTGTGAGCAAGGCAGTGGAGGTAGGGAACAAGAAGAACCTGACTCGAGCCGTCAAAAACTACGCCGACTCCGTTGTTCACCAAGCCGGTCAAGCCGTCGCTGAAGGAGCCAAAATCTTGCAAGATCGTATTGTAATCTCTCTCAACTTTGACTTTTAATTGCAATTAGGGTTCTTGATTCGATTGGATGCATTTCAGTTTTATTTCAAATTTCATTTACTTCATTTAATTAATTTATTTGTTCCTTTTTTCGTTTTTTAATATAGGGGAACAGGAATTATAAAAGTGCTAAGCAAACTGCTAAGAGATTAGAGGAGGCTGCCATCTCCTGCCGCGGCCTGGAGAGGGTTTTGTTACTGAGAAGATGGGTGGTTGTGCTTAAAGAATTCAATAAATTATCAGGAGGTTTTTCGGAAGATAAACAGACATCGGTCGAGGAAAATGTTGTTCCTGATGAACCAAAGGGTAGTCCAAGAAAATCATCGCTGCCCATGGTGAGCTGTTAAATAGTTTTGTGGATTGAAATAACTGAACTACTGAAAGTTCCAGCTTCTTGAGCTTGTTTGTCTAATTTTTTATTTGATGGATAGGTTCTGTATTATGATTCTGATGTTGGGGGTGAACCGTTGACTTTCCGGGATGTTTTTCTTCAAAGTCAGGCCCTAGAAGGCATAGCAACGTCCATGGTATGGTAAAGTTATTTCAATCCAGTTGCATAGACATGCTTAGAAAAGTACTCAGTAATGGGAATTAGTGGAGGAGGATAAACATAGAGATACTAGTATCCTCCTTGTTTAACCGACGCCTATGGAGTAGTAAATGCGGATGGTTATACTTTGCAAAAGCAGTTCGATGCTCTCAGGATTGTACTTTTTTTTGTTTTTTGTTTTTTTTTACCCCAAAGTCACAGGTGTATGCAAGTATTGGTGATAACATCATGATTATAATTAAGCTTTTTTGCAAATTAGAATACAGTTGAAGACATATTAATTAACAAGCTTTAAATATGCTAAGCAGGATAGACTTTCATATTTTCTTTCTTGTAGTTCTGATTGTGGGACTTAACCGCAAATTAACATTCTCTTCTGATTCAGATTCTTGAAGCTCCAAATGAGGAAGAAATTTCTTTGCTCCTGGAGGTGTTTAGGTGAGTCTGCTAGACTGCTCAATGCATAAATGTTGGTCGGAAATGTCAGCACATGTATATTTTAGTGGTTTTCTGGGACTAATTTAAAATTATTCTTATTATAGGTGATGCAAACTAATTATAATGCTCTTGGCTTCATGGAATTTATATTGTATTAGCTTTATGGCAAAGAAATACGTCCATTTTGTTTTGGGGTTCATCAGCATTGTCTTCAATATTTAGTAAATGGTAGAAATATAGTGTTCACAATCAATACTTGGGATAAGCCTGAATTCTGCCCAAATCCCTTCTAATAATTTGTTTACTCACAGGATCTGTCTAAGTGGAGGACAAGAAGTTCATAATGCAATTGTGAGCAGTATACAGGACCTGGCTTCTGCTTTTGCAAACTACCAAGATGAAGTGTTGGTAAAGACATGAAGAATACAGATTGAATTCTAATTTAGGCAAATTGCCGTGCAAAAACATAGAAAACAGGCTGATGTGTAGTGCTTAAAACAGTCATGTTTCAGCATGCAGAATCATGTTTGAACATATAGTTCAAAAATGATTATCTGATTGTTAAATAATGGTTTTTGAAAAAGAAAAAGGCTATTTTTCCTTGTCTTGGAAGTTGTCTGGTATGAAGTACATAATTAGGTATGCAGGAGGAATTCCTTTGACTGTTGTAGCTGCATCTAGCTTACATGTTTGAAATTTCTTTTCCATATTTTAGCTTGAATATGAAGATTTCTAGGTTGATAAGTTTTTTCTCTTTCTGGTTTCTAGGTGAAGCGGGAAGAATTGCTTCAGTTTGCACAAAATGCCATTACAGGGTTGAAAATCAATGCTGATCTTGCAAGGTTATCAACAACAAGAAGTTTTTATCATTTTCTTATTTATTTAGTTTCTCGTTGCTCTATTTTCTTGTCCTTGTTTTGTGCATTTGTGTTTGGACTGCTGACTACCGCTTTTCTGCAAATTTAACTGATGCTCCATGCCTATATTTGGAGGATGATGGACAGAACAAAATTTCTTCAACTGAGTTTGAACCTCTTTAAACTTTGTTGACATTGTTCCATCTTAAGGAAGATGTATAAACTGGGGACGCTTTTGACTTGGATATAAGGTTTCAACTTGCTGCCTTCAGAACCACGGATGCTAACTAAAATTGGTTACCCATTTTTGTCGATTTTGCGTGCCTATTGGTGGAGGAATGATTTAGTTAGTAGACGTGCCACCCTCTCCTTCCCCTACATTCTGATCCATAGTCCACTAGTTTAAAAATGAGACCTCTATGTTGGCAGTCCCAAGTTTTAACGACTGAGAACCTGATTATGAGTTTGTAAACTAGTACTAGAACTCATTCTTCAGTAAGGGCATATCATGATGTCATTTGTCTAAATCCATGGACGCTTTTCAGTAATTTGATACATAAGTTACTATACCCGATGTAGCTATTCATTATGAAATGAAGCTGTGCAGTTAACTGATTGTTTATTAGTTCTTACTTTGCCTTTTTTGCATTCTTTCTGTTCACAGAATAGACGCTGAAGCTATGGTTCTTAGGAACAAACTCGACAGAATTATGCATTCCCAGAAGCCATCAAGTGAAGATCAGGAAAAGGTGTCCGATGAAAAGGCCAAAGCAGCTATAGAGGTGAGCTTTAGTATGTGACAATCTCGTTTTATCACTTTTCTATGATGGGAATATGAACAATGATCTTATGCGAGGAGAGGTTTATATGTATTTGATTATTCTTTGGATACCTTCTATGTTAATGCCTTGTTATGTACAAATCTACTTACATTTTTCTCTGATATATGAAATGAGACTCAAAACAGTGCAATTTATGAATTGTACATTATCATTGTGCACATTTTGTTTTCATGGTTCTTCTGGAAAGGTGTGCATTGTGCAATAAGAAGTCATGGAAAAGATTGCTTGGGTCTCCCCCTCTTGCTCTTCTACTTTGAACAACACAATGTCTATAATCCATCGTACTAGTGTTCATCATACAGCATAAATTACCAAGAAACCCATGAACTAAAATCGCTGCATAATTTATGATTTCCTTTTTTCTTCACACTGTGTTTAAAATATCATGGGATGTTTGTTGGTATTTGCATATGGTTGTGGAAGCATTAAATGGTCTCGTAACCAATTGTTGCATAGAAAGCTGTAAACTAAAGATCTGACCCATGTTTATGTAGGCACTGAAAGAAGCTCTTGCTCAGATTCGAATTTGTTCCAGATTGGAAGGGCTTCTGTTGAAAAAGAAAACTTTGAACTTGGGAGACTCGCCTGAGATTCATGCTCAAAAGGTATTGTAAGCACATGCTGTTGGGTTATTTCCTTATTGAGTTTCTGAAATCTTATCTTCTTGCTTGTTTTTTCCAGCTTTTATTATATGTTAGCTATCTCATTTTTGCCTTCCAAGTTTCTCTGTATGTGGTTTTTATGCCATCATCTGTAGACAGAGACTAGTGTCCATTTTAGCATAGATATCCACTGCTGGAGCCTGTGTGCTTCAGTTTTCTAAACTACAGGTAGTTAGCATATTTACAACTGTTTGTGTCTGGGGTAGTGAGATAATTTCCTGTATGAAACATAAAAGACATATTTGCAGGCTTAAATTTTTATGCATAAGAAGCTTTGGAAGCAAAAATAGCAATGATAATGATAATGGTATATGCAATGATAAGGGGTAGGTACCTTTAGCATCATGTAGGTTTCACGGGTTCAAATCTCCACAATGGACAATATTACCTGTCAAAAAAGCGTAAAGAAGAAAAGAGCAATGATGGTAATTTAAGTGCCTCAATTTACAAAACTAAGAACAACAATGACAATTACAAAATATTGATTTGGCGAAGTCTTTGATAAAATGATAAGACCGGATGCTGTTAAAAATGAGCATATCTACACTTCTCGTTCCATTATTCATCTCCTTTTGGACTGACTAAAATGACACTTATCTCCTTGCCATGCATAGACATTGGATTAGCATAATCCAAGCCAGGACTTGGGTTCCAAGCCTTTTATCTATTAATTTGTCAGTGTTAGTTTTGATTTTGATACAAGTATATTTCTCCCCTTTTATTTTCTTAACTTCTACTGTGTCTTAAGTGGTGATAGGTGTTTTTTTTCCCCTTTTGTATTTCCCGAGTGCACGAGTGCACTACCACCTCTTTCTCTCTGTTTTTCATGTTAGTCTGAAAAGTTCTTTTAAAAGCTGTGCCAGTTGTAGACAACAATGTTTTGCTTATATGAGCAGGTTGACAAGTTGAAGGTCTTATCAGAATCTCTTGCCAGCTCTACATCGAAAGCTGAAAAGCGTGTTGTAGATCACAGGTATAAAGTCAATCTGAAGTATTATTTATGCAGCCAAAATGGTTCTGCCCTTGCACTCTTAAAATCTGTGGACTCGCATTCCATCTCACTGCATACCAAATTACTTCACATGTTCTGTTGAGATGGCTGAACTTCGCTCTTCTCTACAAGCTACTGAGCAGTCATTATTCTGCTCAAGTTATGATGATGTTTTTGGAAAATGTACTAAAGTTGTCACCTTGGTTCACTTAAAATATGTCCATCTTCTCTGTGCTTGGGAAGTTCTCTGGTAAAAAGTAAAGATGATTATCAAACTGTAAAACCTTGAGACCAAGAAACAAGATATACACTAGGGATCCTCTTGCGAGCCACTTGTTAGACTTCCAGTTTTTGTAAATAGATATCATTGAATCCATAATTGCTTTTATAATTTATGGTGGGTTTTAATCCCCACCCGATCCCCACAATTCACAGATCGCAAAAAGAAGAGGCACTGAAAGTTCGTGTTGCCAAAGCTGATGAAGCAAATGAAAAGGAGAAGGTAATGTACTTCAACACTAATGCCTTTGTTCTGCTCAATTATCTTTAGATCACAAAGTAAAGGAAAAACATCGTTATCTGTTCCATTCTTTTGTCTTTTGGAATGCAGATTGTCGCTATCATAGCATAAGTTATCTTTAAAAGCTACTTCGGTATTTTCTTGTTTGCTATAATGCTATAAACAATCGTTTGCTTGTATAACTAGCTATGAAAAACCCTTCTTTTGAGGTATCAACAGCAACAGGTTTTATTACGGGGCAGCTCATGATGTTCATATCGATCTATTATGCGCCTCTGCATCTAGCATTGGGTAGACCTCATACAATAATAGTGCTATCTTATATTGTGATGGTTTGCATTGTCATTTGGATTTATATTCACTCTGTATGTGGATATTTTCTTTTTAGGATTGCTTGTTTCTTGTCCATGAGTGATTGTGAGATTATTGACTGCTCAGTTTAATTGGCTTATCAAGAGTTCTTGTTCGTTATTTCATATTGTTTTTAGCATTGCATGGTTACATATCAGTTGATAGCTCTCGTCTGAAGCAAATACCATCCATAACTTACTGTCATAGAGTCATAGTGGGTACAGATTTATCCGTAGATTGTGTATTCTTAAGGTTTGGGGTATGTGTTGTAGAAAATAGGGATGCTATGCATGCTGCAAACATGCAGAGAATGTATTTGTTTGAGGGCAATTTTGACTTGTCCTTTCTTTGGTTTCTTTCCAGGAAATAGTAGCTGAAGTATCAGTACTTGAAAAACAAAGAGATGAACTTGAGGCTGAATTGAAAAAGGTTTTACTTCTCTCTCTCATTTCCTTTCCTTAGTGCTTTGTGTACTTATGTTTGGATTTTTGAGCTGGAAGCACGAGGTTATATTGACAACAGATCATCATCTTTTTAGTTCGGGCTTTCTTTTCTAGTTCTACATCCATTCAACTTTTATTGATCACAAACATTTAAATACTGGTCCACACCACATAGGTTAATATCTCCTTGGCTGCTGCAAATGCACGCCTTCGTAATGCTAGGGAAGAGAGGGATCAGTTTGATGAAGCTAACAATCAGATAGTTGAGCATTTGAAAACAAAGGTTTGGATTTTTTTCTTCTGGTTTCTTTCTGCCTAATTAGGTGCAAAAATAATGGCATAATTTAAGGTCTTTGGTATTCATTATTCAACCATGTGATGCATCTTTTTCCATGAGTTTATAGGAAGATGAGGTGTCAAAATCAATTGCCGCGTGCAAGGTAGAAGCAGATGTTATTAGCACGTGGCTCAATTTTCTGGAAGATACTTGGGTTCTCCAGCAATCTCAAACTGACGTAAAGGAGAAGCAGGTCAAGTATGTCCATCATTGTGGCTTGCGTATGCCATTTTTCTATGGCTAATAGTAGTTTTCAGTATGCTGGTTTTGTACTTTCCAATATTCAAAAGTACATTCCCTATCTTTTGACATATTGCTTACATCTTTGCTAATTGTTGCTTATTTCACTTTCAAGTGATGAACTGGAGAGACATGAGGACTATTTTGTCAAGTTGGCTATTCGCCTTCTTTCTGAGTACAAGGTAAATCGATATTGTTTTTGAAGAATGTTTATCTGCAAACCTAACTTATGACTCTGATTCTCTCTCTCTCGCATGCGTGTATACATGTGCACATGTACAGATGTGTGCTCATGTGACTGTTCTGTATTCTGATGGAGCTTGTATGTTCTATGCAGAAAGAGTTGGAGCCTTCTATCGGCCGCATAGAGAAATTTGTGGAAAACCTAAAGAATTTAAGTGGAGGGTAACGTAATTTGCTGCACCAATAGGTTTCTAATTGTTTTTATTTTTTTTAAAAATTCTATTTGTTCATTTATTTTTTACAATACAGGTTGGAGGTAGCATCCAGTGCAGAGAATGAAGATTCTAAAGAATTAAACCCAAGGAAAAATCTTGAGGAGGAATATTTGGATTATGAAGCAAAGGTATGAAAGTGTTTCCTTAAAGCTCTCAGGTCAAATACGCAAATGACTGATTTATTCATAGTATTCTGCATTGCCATTTATAAAATGCTACCTTGCTGTTAAGATCCTTTTTTGTTGGATGATTCCTTAAACGGGGGCTATTTTAACAGTAACCTTTATTACTTTGCCAATTTTTGGATGAAGTGTCATGAATGAGGTGGATTGCATAAATAATTCTCGTTGGCTCATGCGTATAGTTTATGAGTAGACTCTAATGGCTATGCACATTTACTGTTCAATGTTGTGTTATCAACGTAAAAAATATCTCTCTTTCAGAAATAGTCAAGCAGAAAACTCTAATGCAGTAATTGCTTTGAAGAATATTTTGGCACTCTGATAACTGGTCATACTAGTTTCAAGTTTCTTACTGTGTTCTAAGTTTTTCCTCTTTCTATTTTTCTTCTCTGTACCTTTTGAAATTGAGTCTCTCCCTTTGTCTTTTATGTTCCAAACAATTTGTTGGACGTAGAAAAATTGTTATAAAGGTGCTTTTAGAAGTATCTGTTGAGGTGTGCCTCATTGTGTTCCTGCATGTACGTAGCTGGTATAAGCATTACAACCATAGATTGATATGTTAGTTTGGCTGTCTTGTTCCAGATTATAACCACCTTCAGTGTAGTGGACAACATGAGAGAGCAGTTTTATGCTCAGAAAGGGGCAAGCTCTAGGTGGGATTCTGGTCCTGTCCTTGAATTCTTCATGAGTTGTCTTACATTGTACAATATTATTCCCATGTGTTGTATGCATTGCCTGAAAAATGTCATACCTGGCCTCTTCTACCCAGGAAAGATGATACAACGGTTAAAGAGCTATTTGATGACATTGAAAAGTTGAGAGTGGAATTTGAGTCCATTGAGAGACCAAATCTAGAATTGGAGACTCCAACCCATAAAGCAGATACTACATCTGAGAAGCCATTGGGAAGTCCATCCCACACCTCAACACCAAAAGCAACTGCCCTTAAATCCAATGTTGATGAGCATCCCAAAGCATCTGCAGCAGAGACAGATGAGGTGCTCGATCCTGCTGCGGAACTTGCGAAGTTCGAGTCAGAGTTTGGGAAAAATGCTCGAGACTACTCAACAGAGGAGATCGGTGACTGGGAGTTTGATGAGCTTGAAAGGGAATTGAGATCCGGTGATACAGCAACAAACAACTAGCTCTCCATACTTGGCGATTCCTGTACTGAAATTCTAATCTTGCATCTATATCCCCAAAAGCTGAATTTTAGATCATAAGCTTGTTGGTGTAACTTATTGCTTCCATTGGATAAAGTTTCAATTTAATTGTTTATTCATCTGTAAATTCTCCAAGTTGTAAAATGTAACTGATGAAACAAATGAATGGAAGTCTTTGTTTGTATGTTAAGTCTGAACCTTGTGCGGTTCAACAACATTCACATGTACTATAGGTGGAATTTCATGCTAAATGGTCAAGGGCCCTCCACAAAATAGTGCCCCAAGTACGCCATACGTTTGCCAAACACATCCTGATTTTAATTGCTGCTACTTTCTTCCGAAGTCGTGATGATCATCTGATTTGAAGGTGACTCTTCATGCCTCCTTGCAAAGGGATGTCAGAACAAAACCAGATAATGTGAGGGCTCTGCTATCTTCTCGATGCGAATTTATGGAAAATTGAAAGACTCTTGCATGTATTGTCAAAAGGTTTCCAGATCTGGTAGTCGGAGTTTGTTTACTCTTTGGAGAGCACCATCATGGTGCGATGCCTCCCATGCTTTCGACACCCGAGTACATAAGCTAGTGGATTGCTAGCCCCTCCACCTAAGATCTCTCAAAAAGGCAGTCTCTAAAACGACTACTGAAAGGGTTTGCTTGTAACTGTTTAATTTCTGTAGCAATTTTCAACTTTGGTTTGTGCTGGTGGGATACCCGGCAAATGGAACCCATTTAATCGAAAACAGAGTGGTTCTCCATGTCAGTTGTTGAACCAATGAAAGAAACTTGGCATCCTGATATTCTGGGTGGTGGGTCATTTAGATGGATACATCTATGGCTATCGTTTGCTTGTGCTTTTTGTGTCCCTGCAAAATCCAAGTTCATTATTCAAGAGAGAATGAACGTGAACAGCGATGTTACATTTACCATAGAAGGGGTGTTCGGATACCGTTCGCACGAAGTGCAATCGGGATTCTTTTGGCAATGTTAAATCAGCATTATTTGGCTTGGTGTCAACAGATATGTCGGTGTTTATCCCAAAAAAAAAAAAAAGGAGAGAGGAAAAGAAAAGTTCCCTTGCCAAACAATACTCCTCAAGCAATCAAATTTTGAGATCGGCTTTATAATAACTCTTTTGTTCTTATATGTTCTCAAACCAGATTTTGCATGCCCACACATCCTGATCAAGTTTAAAATAAGTTGTTCATATCATACTAATATTCACGAGAGTTCTCGCATATTCTTTTTAAATTGAATTAAAAATGATTACATGAAGAATAAATTTACTTATCATTCGTGCCAAATCTCAAAAATAATTGAAGACAATGTGTGTGCAGAAACCCTTTAATTTTTTAATTTTTATTTTTTTGGAACCAAGCACAACATTACAAGATTTTAAAATTGACACGAAGTGCATATTCTCGTGCATGTTATTCACTCAATTGACGGGACCGTACAAAGTGCTATCAGTATTCTTCTAGCAATGTTAAATCAGCATTATGTGGCTTGGTGTCAACAGATACGTCAGTGTTTATCAAAAAAAAAAAAAAAAGGGGGGGGGGGAGAAGAAAAGAAAAGTTCCATTACCAAACAATACCCCTCAAGCAATTAAATTTTGAGATCGGCTTTGTAGTTTTTCTTTTGTTTTTATATATATATTCTCAAATCCATACCTACACCAAATTCCTTATCGATCAAGTCTAATTAAATTAAGTTGTTCATATCATATTAATACATTCACGAAAAATTTCTTTCTCGCATAATCTTTTTAAATTGAGTTAAAAAAGGTAACATAAAGAATAAATTTACTTATCATCCAAGCCAAAATCTAAAAAATAATTAAAGACAACATTATATCTCAAAAATAATTAAGGACACCGTTATATATGCATGCGTATGCAGAAACCCTTGAATATATATATATATATATATATTTTTCTGGAACCAATTACAACATTACAAAATCCAGATTTTAAAATTGACACGAAGTGCATATTCTCCCTCTGAGGACATGCATTGTCGCTATTTCTACATATTTTGCCAAACGAACACCTCAAACAAATTGAAGAGCCATACGAGATGGAAATTTTCTCTGTTCTTTTTTCTTTCAGAAAGACTTAAAGTCAACATAAACCAACATCAGTTCCTAACTTAGCAGCATTGCCAGTTATGTTGTTGCATAAAAATGATCTAAGTTTGAAATGTAGAAGGATTTATCAATTATTCATCAAATGACTAAAAAATATATTTTTTTTATTCCAATTCAACCATGTAGGTCAGAACTATTGTTGGATTTGCATATGGCTAACAGCTTGCTCATGACAATACACGTGATGGTACCTTGAACGTTGCTAAGAGACTGGAAACAACTTCTAAGATATATAGTAGTTAGATGTGTTTTTTATGATTGTTTCAAAACATAACAGCTATATATAACAAACCGTTTCGAGTTCTTGAAAAGAAGTGATGATGCCTCTTTGGTCTTCTTAGTAGTTAGAATTTAATATATGGAGGGAAAAAAATAAATAAATAAAGATCTTGATTGTGGGGAGTGTGTTAAAAGGAAAGAAAAACAAAAGTCTCGAGCTTTGAAGGCAATCCATCCATAATTCCCTTCCCTCCACCATCAAATGTCGGATCATATGTTGTTTTCTTGGTGAGGTCAACAACTCATTCTCTTAAAATCTTCTACTCCTGTGGCATTCAAATGCAATCAAAGTACACTAGGGAATATTGATTGATGGCTATAAGAACTATGAAAAAAGAATGACAAAAAGAAAAAAACACAAAAAGATGCGCACGTATCGATCAGTTATATGACAAAGTGACGGAAAATTTTCCCATAAGAAACAAAGTGAAAAGACAAACCCAGGAATCCAGTAAAAGTAGTAAAACCAGGTAAAGTATAAAATGATTCTTTAGCTCTAAGTATTATATTACTTAAGAAAGTATTTTCCTTTTTTTCTTTTTTAAGTTTGTTTTGTTGGTTATGGGGAACAGGAAAGGAAGAGAAACCAATGAATTATTAATTATATGATGAGAGTGCAGAATAAGACATGGGCTGCTTTTGAATTCGAATTTGGTTGGAAGGAGCTTGGTGAGTGAAGCAGAAGAAAACAAACAGAAATATCTAATATAATTTTCATTAACAAAGTAGAAAATGCCATCAGGATGTAGGGATTCCACCCCTTGACTACCACTTTGGCATATCAACTATTTTATTCACTTTCATCTGCATTCTAGCATTTGTCTTTGCTTCTGCGATTATACTAATCTGATTATCTGATTAAATCAGAAACATTATTAATTAAGCTTACTAATGTGAAATCCAAGGCATTTCCCTTCTCTTTTCTTTCTTTCTTTCTTTCTTTCTTTTTTTTTTTTATTTTTAAAGGGCAAGCCATCAATCATTAAAAAAAAAAAAAGAGTAAGGAATCAAACTAGATCAACTGTTAATTCAAACATCATTTCCAACCAGCTTTTTAATTGTAATATCCAATTTTCAACATCCTTTATATTTCATAATTAAGTTGGAATTTCAGCAAATTAGGGATAGACTCTTAAAAAGTTACAGAAGTGAGAGCCTTCATTTCTCAACCACTAGGTGGGAGTTACAATTCAGATGTTTCGTGAATTGAAGTTCATTAAAAGTATAATTCTAAAAAATTTTGTCAACACAACCAACCAAATTTTGACAATTCTTAGCTAACAAACTCCATAATTCTCTTTCTAAAATCAACTTTATTGTTAAAAGAAAATGGGGAAAAGACAGGACCTCCTACTTAACATAATATGTGATGTGAAAATAAAGAGTAATGAGAATGAGCCGCAAAATACAAATTCAAGGGGAAAGAGAGAGAGAGAGAGAGAGAGAGAGATGGTTCAGTGCTGGACCATTAGAGGAACTTCCATTATTTTATATTTGGAAGCATTCAAAATTCTGACAATTGTCTACAGTGTAGAACTTTTCATCATTCTGGAGCATCATCATCTCACTCTTTTAAATGGTGCACTTCCCTTCATTTCCCCCTCACCAAACTCGGCTCCCACAAGTCACTCCACATACACAAACATAAACCCAGAGAGATAGAAATTAAAAGAGGATTACCTGGAAATACTGAGTTGCAAGAAATGGCCATGAATCACCTCCTATCATTTGACCATGATGAGGATGATGACTACATTGACATGGAAGTAAGCTCATACTCCAACTTCCTCTGCCACTCCATAAGCTCCCCTCCATTCCCAAAAGAGTTCGAGTTCCAAATGTCCACAGCTTCGCTAGAAAAAGACACCACAACTTCCCCAGCTGATGAGCTCTTCTACAAAGGCAAGCTCCTTCCCCTTCACCTGCCTCCACGTTTACAAATGGCTGAAAAAATCCTTGAAAACTCCCACTCAGCATATGATCATAGAAAAGATACATTTGAAGAATGTTTTAGCACCCCGCTAATGACAACTGCTACAACACCGACTTCAACCAGTACTCCATTTGAATCCTGCAATATTTCACCTTCCGAGTCTTGTTGTGTCAGTAGAGAATTAAATCCAGAAGAGTATTTCTTTGAGTATTCAAGTGAAATTGGTGGTTTCATCAGTGAAAACCCAAAGAAGTCTTGGACCAAAAAGCTTAAGCTGATTAAACAGTCTTCACTTGGTTCAAAACTGAAGGCTTCCCGGGCTTATATCAAGTCTTTGTTTGGTAAGTCTAGTTGCTCAGATGATTCATGTACAGTGGCTACAAAAGTTGAAGATGAAGTAACAGTTTCAAAAGCCAAAGAATCTTTGAACAACTATGTGAAGCCAGCAAAGAAGACGCCTTTCGGACAAATCCAGAACGATAAATACCAAATGTCAACTACTGGAATGCAGGACAAACAAAAGATCACTGAGGACGGCAGTGATCGTCTCCACAGGAGGTCATTCTCAATGGCCATCAAACGATATTCAACAAACAAGTCCTTATCATCTTCATCATCATCTGACTCCTCATCATCATCTTCAAGCTCGACTAGTTCAAATGGGTTTCACCGTTTGCCATTTCTAAAGAGAAGCAGCAGTGCAAAATCAGAGATTGAGAATCCAATCCAAGGAGCAATTGCACATTGCAAACAGTCCCAGCAGCTGTTCCATTCAAGTAAGACTGCAAATGAAGCCAAGTTATACTCATTATCAGCTTCCAGAATTTCCATATGTGAAGAAAAAGAAAGACCAGTTCTTTGCAGAGGCTGAGCTTCACCTGGATAAAAGAAAGAAAAAGCGCAAATGATAACTTAGTTTCCAAGGCTTTTTTTTTCTCTGGTTTTGTTGTATTGATCATGTGTCTATCCTTTGTTTAGGGAAGGAGTTAAACTCTTAATGCCTGTGTTTTAACTGCAAGATCAGACCATCCAGCGGCAGTTCTGAAAATGTCCAATGACTGCTTTCTTCCTTAAAGCAAGGTTTTAACGATCACGGATAAATATGTTAAAGAGCTCAAACGAAAATGGTACTTATGAAAAGAATGCCAAAGCTTTTTACTCACCATGTAATAAACAATCCTATTCTACTGTCTTCACATGATCACAACCACGTACTTGATGAGCAGTAGCATTTCTTAATAGAAAAATGATCGCTCCATTTATCCAAGAAGCACTTCAGGAACTTACCATCTTACATTTTCACATCACACATTTTGCAGTACTTTTGCTTCAATTCATACGTTTTAACAGTTTCAATTAGCCAACTAAACTCAACCTTGATAAATTAAGACATCAGTAGTCGAATACCAACTGTTTCATAGAGCATTGAGATAGGCTTCCAGTTTTCAGCGGAGTCCAATAGAACTTAAGAATTCTGATTTCAATTATAATTATATTTTCCCGTAAGTATAGGCTGTACTTAGCTCTCAGCTAACCTAAGCATGATGTGGGTCAGATTCTAACTATTTAAGCGACATATATTATCTTTTTTAACAATTCAGTAAAGATAAAGGAGGAATTCACAAATATCTTGCACAAACAAACAATTCCATCCGACACAAAGAAAAAGGTCAAAAATTCATCACATGCCAATGGTCCATGAAACTAAATCTCTGTCCTGAAGCAATTCAGGAAATTGTCATCATGGTTTTCATAGATTCATCAGTTTTGATTGTCCATATGATTCTTAAAGATTATTGCCTACACCTTTGTTTCAATGACACGGAAGAAGATTAATCTTCTTATCATCATCAAGTCACTCAAATAATTCGACATTGCTTACCTGTAAAGTATTGATGAATCACTTGTCAGCAGTTCTATAAACATTCATTTGAAAAACCTAAAGCAAAGAAAAGTGGAAAGTAATGCAGATTAGGCAAAGTTAAAACATCATTATGTCCAAGCCAATGATAGGATGACAGATCTAATCATGATTTGGATATAAAAACCCACCTGTCTACCTCTTAATAGCATCTAAGAGACACCTGCCTGCATTTAATATGTAAACAAGGAAAAGTGAGTCCTGATAAAAAAAAATGAACGCGGTTTCTTCCAACAAAATGCATAAAAGTTCAACAATATGTAGAAAAAAGATATAGTAGCCAGTCCCTATACGTGCCCAGGGTACTCTATGTCAAACCTATCAAGTTCAGTAAAGAAAGATATCCTACAATAAAATGAGAAAAGAGGAAATCTTCAGGTGGCTCATTTCCCTTCTTTTAATTTTCTTAGTGGGTGTACTAGACCTTAAACCAGGTGAACATGTCAGCCAAAATTTTGGCAAGATCAGAGAGAAAAGAAAGCAGTTAAAAGGCTAATTGATGTTGTTGAGCACTAAGGGATACCGATACGCATATATTAAGAAACTCTTTTCCCCACCAACTTTTGAGGTTTTTCTACAAGGATAAGTAAAGGTAGGCGGCCTCACATACCTGCTGGAAACCAATTAAATAAGTTACTCTGTCGTTGCTAAATATTTTTGATTGCCCCAATAAGTATGCACTAAACTAAGCTCGACCGCTTCAAATGCCTGTTGGCTAATTAGAAATTATAAATCTAAGACTTGCAGGCGATTAAGATGTTAATGCACTCACTCTTACTATCGCACTATCTCATAATTATCTTAGTTTCCGAATAGTGGTCCTTGATTTCATAATATCAGGGCGGAAGTACATGCTTTCTGGTGAAAACTATAAAATGGAACTGCAGAAAACTACAGATTCTGAAAGTGTAAAATGGAAAATCACCTCTAAGAAATGTACGCATTGTTTTTAGTGAAAGAAGCCATGATATAACAGCCCATCCAGAATGGCTCTTCACCAAGATTGTAATATCAGAGCGAAAATCACATTTATGTCTATTATCTTCGGGTACAATAATCCAGGTGAAGTTCCAGAAACTACAAAGTTTGCTTCAATGGTTTTTTACTTTTTATAATATCAATATCATGAAATACATCAATGCAACTCAATTGACTTCATTTACACCTAGTCTAATACTAATGATCATCCAAAACAGGAAAATTCCTCCCTCACAACTCCAGTAATCAAGCGCTCTTCCCATCTGGCAGCCTCAAAACAGGAAATGCAAGAACTTCAATTTTTCTCAATGCTGAACGGTTGGCTCTCACTATTGAACGAGAGAATGCCCAGGAAGGAAAATATGAAGGGAAGATACGGGGAAGAATCCACAATATAATTTTGAAGGTGTATAGAGGATCAGTAACTCATAGCACGTTTAATTAACTTCAGTCACTAGAAGCCATCTCCTGAGCCATAGAGCAGGAATTAAAAACGCAAATTAAATTGATCATCAGAAGTTGACAGCAAGAATCACATATTACAATCATGCCACCGCATACCAGCAAGCGTTAAAGTGAAGACGCACTACTTACTGAAAACAAACCAGGATGTATGTTCAGGCCGCAATGCTTTCACTTGGTGGCTTGTGCCCACCTTGGTTATCATTTTTCTTCCGATATGGTCACAAATGACAGATCCCTCATGAGTTATTTCCGTGTCCAATAAAAAGCCGAGTCATTTCTTCTCCAAGAAATGGCATCCCTGAAAAATTCAATAGAGTGACTTCCTCCACATTTCAACTCCACACACCTATTTTCTTAAGTTTTTCATCTCTCTTATTTTCAATAGGGAAAAGGAAAACAAAAACAATATGAAGATAGTGGCATGCGACATAAGCTAGGTGGAGTTGACAGAATTGATGGCAGCAACAGCACATCACCATTTAAATTACAAATTTGACTACTTGATTTCTTGCATGATGATCATCATCAACAATAAATCATACCAAAGAGGAGCACCAAAACCATGATTGTAACTAAAATACGCGCATAAATAATATTAATCTACCCAAATATTCTTCCCAGAATCAATTTCCAACAAATTTCAACCATTTGGTTAATGGAATCCACAAATTCCATGCATGAGATATTTTTCGGAAAATAATTTCAGAAAGAATAGTCGGTAAAATTAACATTACTCAAAATGCATCCTCCTATAACACCAATCACTTAAAAAATCGAATTGACTTTGGAAATACTGCAAATAGTTGCTAAATCTTACTGGATGATCTTGAAAACAATAGAAAAAAAAAAAGCTTCAATTAAATACATTAAAAAAAAAGTTAAAACAACTAACACAGCTTCAAATAACCAAAATTTTATCAAAAAATAAAAGAAAAGAAAAAGAAAAATCATTTCATTCGCACACATAAAATGAAAAAAAGAAAAAATTAAAAATTCGAGAGATGCCTTTCATGCATATGATTTGGCTTGTGATAGCGCTCTAATTAGTGGAGAAGATGCATTTTACATTGACATAAATAAATAACTAAATCAATTAATTAAAAAAAATATTAGCAAAGGCAAGAAAGTGATATAAAATTTTTATAAAAAGGTATGATTGATAAAAAGGTATGATTTTGAAGAAATCATAAGACGAATATTAAGTTATTCATCAAAAAACAGAAATAGAAGCAGAAATATATTTATAGTGAAAGCCGAAAACCTTTCGTAAGGGTACGAAGCGACTTTCGAGGTCAGTGACTAAGCGGATTCTGGAGTGAGGATCAGAAATGTGAATGATTTCATGGACAATTCCGTCAATCCGAGAAGTGCAATCACAATCACAATTCGTAAAGGATCTCTTCACGCTTCACTTGGATTCTCACCATTTTTTTACGAGCTGTGAAGACTGAAGACGCTGACTTCGAACGCACCGTTTTGTTTATTTTTAGATGTCTCTCTATATGGGCTTTGTTTTGCGAGAACAAGAATTTTTCACTAACATTAATGGGCTCAAGCCCCAAAAATAGATAGTGAAAATGGCTCAAAAGTCACCCTAAATCTGAAGAGCGATAGCTCAATTTGTTAGTAGGCCCAATAGATAAAAGACCGGCCTTTTCTTATAAACCAAGAATTTTTTTTTTTTCATTGGCGAATCTCATTCTTGGACGAACGTTTGTTAAAATTTTGGATCTGATGATTCATGCTTCGGTTGGATAAATATCATATTCGGTTTCTTCAATTATTCTCGTTTCTTTCCGACCAAAGAGCATATCCTGTTTCTACTATTATTCTCATTTCTTCGTCCAGCAGCCATCATGTTGACCCACTTCGCATGTGACATTAACAATTTCATATTTTTATGTATGTACAGCCGCCAGGCCAGGTTAAGAGCATTTGGGACAACTACTTGTTTGCTTCAAAAAAGAAAAGGAGTGAAAAAAGGGGACCTACCCCTCTCTCTCTCTCTCTCTCTCTCTATTTTTATTTTTTATGTATTGTCTAATTCACTCTATGCATCTTTCATTGCGTCAAGGAACAACTGAAAAAATACCAGGCCTGGAAAAACCTAAAAGCCTAATTAATAATCTGAAGAACCATCCTGTCTAGTTCCCAGTGAAGGAAGGTGGCCTGAAAATACCAATTGATTGAAACACGCAAAAAGGGTCAGTTAATACAGACCCTGTACTGTACTTGTATTTTGTAAGTAGCATAGTTTGCTTTTACATTTAAGGGCAACAGAAATACCCCATAGTTTGTAGACCAGCGGCAGTTACAATGGTTATTGTGTTACAAGCACCATCAACACTTGGCCTCTCAGATGAAAGATCACCTGGGCTAATTAGCAGTCCTCGAAGCATTGAAATATTGTCCCTGGAAGAAAGTCTACTAGGAAGAAAGGTATCCTGATCCTAGTTCTCAACTGCGGTGGCCTTTAAATTTCATTTTTGCATTACTAGATGTCTACA